GAGTGAAACTAAAACAAGCCAATGCACATTCGCGTGCAATCATTTGCATCAGCTGTGCAGCCTCGCAGCGCAGGTATTTAACGAGCAGCTGTTGCAATTGCACACTAGCTTTTTGCTTCGGAGCCAAACACTTCGATGCCTCTGCTTCTACTTCAACAAGCCTTTCTGGACCTCTCCCTCTCCCTCTCGGTGCGGGCATGACAGCGCAGTGCGAGCAGTTCCCCTCTCTTTCTCTCTCTCTCTCTCTCTCTCTCTCTCTCTCTCTCTCTCTCTCTCTCATCGAGCAAAGAAGGAAAAAAAGAGCTGTTATAACAGCTGGTAAGATCTTCAGCGAGAGAGATTCAGTGCACAGGTGGGTGCACATTCCCATCTGTGACCGCTGTGACTGTTCCCCTGTGTGCTTCAGCACCAGCGAGAGTAGTCCCTAAAAGAGCTTACAATGATAGTTTGCGTCTTTTTCAAGATGACGTTCTATCTGTGTGTTTCTGGATGCGGTCGTTACCTGGGGTCACGGGATGGTCACGATCGCTGCCTCGTGTGTCTGGGACTCGAACACGCACAGGCAGCGTTCGTGGATGAGTCATGTACCCATTGTGGGAAGATGACCATCTCGGAGCTGCGTTTGAGACTCTCTTGCCTGTAAAGCAGCGGAGTCCCCGTGCAGGCACCTCGTTTCAACCCCCCAGTGCGGGTTGCTTCAGGCGCTGACACGGGTGACCTAAGGATTACGGTGTGCATGCTTCCTTCGGGGAACCAACCCCCTAAGAACCCTCACCCCTCTCATGCTCCGCAACCAGCTGAGCCGCCAACGGAGCATGCTAGACCATCCACGAGATGTGTACCTTTTGTTTGTTGCTCCCAGCGGCGATCAGATGTCAATCGTTGCATCGGAGGGTGGTTCAGATATCTCTGCGGATGACGTCTCGGAGCCTCTGCCTCCTTCGGGTGTGCCAGCGGTGCCCGAGATGACGGCCATGCTTTCCAGGGCCGCCAACAGGGTTGGGTTCGTGTGGATCCCTCCACCGTGTCCCAAACCCTCAAGGTTAGATGATTGGTATTTTGGGGTGGCATGTGCTGGTGCTCAGCAACCCACCCCAGTGCCCTTCCCCCTGGAGGTGCATGAGGAGCTCACAGGGATGTGGACGGCACCTTTTACTGCCAGAAACCGTTCCAGTGGTTCCTCCTCCCTCATCACCCTTGATAGCGGGGTAGCTAAGGGATACACGCATATTCCCCCAGCGGAACCTGATTTCACTTTGCGTGAGGAACCGTGTCTCCCTTCCTGGGCCTGTAAGTACTTGTCGGACTTAACCAGCAAGGCTTACAAGGCCTGTGGGGAAGCTGCCTCTGCCATGCACACTTTGGTGTTGCTGCAGGTTCATGAGGCTAAGGCACTGAAGGAACTGCACAAGGGTGGTCATGACCCACTTGTTCTTCAGGAACTTTGGCGTGCGACGGACCTCGCGCTTCGTGCCACAAAGGTTACCGCACACTCAGTGCGATGTCCACACTGGTGGTCCAGGAACACCATCCCTGGCTATGTCTGGCCGACATGCGGGAGACCGACAAGCTCCGGTTCCTTAATGCCCTCGTGTCCCAGACCGGCCTCTTCGTCGACACAGTCGAGAACTTCGCCCAGCAGTTCTCGGCTGTACAGAAGCAGACTGAGGCACATCCTGCCGCGGCGGTCAGCTGCTGCCTCCACCCCACCGCCCGCGGCTCCTCAGTCTGCTCGTCGCCGGGGGCGTCCTCCTGCTTCTGCCCATGCTCCAGAGATGGAAGGGACTGCTCTGCTGAAGACGATGACCACATCGCTCCCTCCCCCGGAAGAGGGCTGAGTAGAAAATCTTTTGTTTCGTTTTGTTCCGCCGCTGGCCTTAACTAGCGGTACAGAAATATTCAATAAAAGAGCAGTTTCTATCATTTCTGAGCAGTTTTCTGGGCCCAAAGAGGACCAGGAGAGCAGTGAGGGGACAGAATCCTCACCACTCTCATCCTCCTCTTCTGTCGCCAGTCGGCAGCAGTGTACGGTCCAAGAACGCCATTGAGCCGCCTCCCGCACCTCATGCCCCGTGGAACCATGTAAGTGCTTCACAGCACACTCAGAACCCGCTACGGGCCGCCTACCAAAAAGCCTTCCGAGCCAGGTCCCTGTCTTCCACCTCGCTGCGCCACTCCGGATACGCCTACGTTTCCTTTGGTCTCGCTGGCTCGTTCGGACCATCAGGCTCGGCTATGCGAGTCAGTTCGCCCGGCGTCCCACCAAGTTTCGGGCCATCCACTCCACTACAGTGAGAGGAGCCGATACCCATGCTTTACGTGCGGAGATCGCAGTCCTACTGGCAAAGGACGCGATAGAGCCAGTCCCTCCAGCCGATATGAGGTCAGGGCACTACAGTCCCTACTTCATTGTACCTGCGAGTTTTGAATCGGAGTCTCCACAAGCTACAGTTCAAAATGGTCATGCAGAAACGCATTTTCACATGCATCCGTCCCCGAGATTGGTTTGCAGTGACCGACCTGAAGGATGCGTACTTTCATGTACCCATGTATTCTTCCTCGACACAGGCCGTTCCTGCGCTTTGCGTTCGAGGGTCAAGCATATCAGTACAAGGTCCTATCCTTCAGACTGTCTCTGTCCACAAAGACACATGCCTTTGGTGTGAGACACCAATGTGTCCCTGAGCAAGACACTTAACCCCTAGTTGCTCCACAGGCGTGCGACCTCTGACATGTATAGCAATTGTAAGTCGCCTTAGTTAATTCCTATTGGTCAGTTATGACCTACGTTGTAGTGACTGACCAGTCACTACAACGTAGGTCATGACTGACCAATAGGAATTGTCTCGGTTTCTAGGGAATGTCTCGGTTTCATATGGTAACCCTCGTTCCCTGGGGGAGGGAACAGAGACGTAGGTCCCTTCGCCACATCTGCTGCCACCCGCCGGGGCGACCAGCTTTCTCAGGCTTGACTCCTCAACAAAAAAATAGTGTGCAATCGCAACAGCTGACTGCAAATGACTCCACGCCAATGTGCATTAGTTTCACTCGAAGTAAATTGACCTCTCTAGTGAGATTCTTATTGGTCAGTCATGACCCATGTCTCCGTTCCCTCCCTCAGGGAACGAGGGTTAACCGAGACGTTTTTTATGTCACATTGGTAGGAAAAATTTTCTTTTTTAAAATTAGTAATTAAATGACATTTGGCCTCTTTCATAGACCTAGATGCCTTGCTGAAATTAATGAACCATGTATCAAAACAAATCTATTTTCACAACTCACAATTTTAAAAACTGTTTTATGGAGTAGGCTACTAAGTTTTTGTTGTTGTTGTTTTTTTTTTTAGCTGTCAATCGCTGTATTACGTTAACCATTTATTAAATGCTCTCATCTCTCAAAAAGGAAACATGGTGCTACCTTATATATTCATTACAGTGAGGTGGTCTTTCTGCTTGACCTTAGGCCTGTCGCACCTCCAACGGCGCCTGTGGTGGACTGTGCATGGCAGGGGCGTCCTCTTCCCTGAGCCGGGCCTAGACCTGACTGCATACCGCAAGGTTTTGCTGCAGGGTCTTCAGCTGGGGACCACCGCTCATTGACGTTTCGCCCCTTAGCCCAGAAGATCTCCTGGTGGCGGGGCAGTGAACAAGGACGTCTCCCTGTCACCCCCTGCAGCAAAACCTAATTAGATGTTACTCCCCAAGCCTTATCTCGTCGTTTCAGCCAGAGCCAGTGGCTTGCTTTCTCAGCTTCTTCAGAGAGCTCTTTGGTGGATCTACTCAGTGTGGCTCCCCGTAGTCCCAGGTCCTTGAGCAGATGTGACGTTGATCTGCCCACAAAGCCTCTGGCTCCCACCTCGACCGGGTACAGCCTCGCACCCCATCCACTTTCTCTGCACTCCGCGACCAGATCTGCGTACTTCGCCTTCTTTCTCTCGTAGGCTGCTTCCAGTCCCTCCTCCCATGGCACTGTCAGCTCGATCAGTATCACAGACTTCACAGCTGCAGCCCACAGCACCACATCTGGTCTTAAGGTTGTGCTGCATATCTCCTGTGGGAACTGGAGCTGCCTTTCCAGGTCTACTTCCATCTTCCACTCTGCCCCTGGTGTTAACAGCCTGGAAGGTGGTCTCTTACTGGTATGCGTTGCGGGTTCCCCCTGCCTGAGGAAGCGGATCCTGCATCGACTCTCTGATGGACTCTTGTTGTTTGCCTCCTGCCGACTTTTCTCCAGCACTTCGGCCAGCTTTCTGAGCACTTGGTCATGCCGCCATCTAAATCGACCCTGTGTCAGTGCTGTTTTGCAGCCTGACAGAACATGCTGGAGTGAGGCATTGATGGTCCCGCAGAGGTCACAAGATTGCTCTATTCCAAGCCATTGGTGGAGGTTTTGACTAACTATTGTGGCTAGATTGAGGCTGGATAAACATATTAAACAGACACTGTATTTAAGCATAATAAAGTTTAAATAGTTTTTCAGCAGTAGGCCTAATTGTTCATTTATGTTATAAATAGCGGATTTATTGACTGTGTACTTTACGCAGTCGCTGTACGTTTTTTTCTGCTACAGTGGACATGTAGGCCTACAGTACCAATGGGTCACAGCGGATGTAAAAAAGGTTCTCTTAAACTAAATTATGACTGATTTGTGCAAGAACAACCAAAAATGTGGTAATAATTAAGATTAGTGAATCTGATTAAATCGAGCACACAGCACAAGAGGACTGAATTCATCCCTCTGTTAGCCTCCAGCTGCCCTGCAGATGCGTGAATGAGGATTATTTGCATGTTTTAATAATGCATATCTTCTTCCCTTCGAGGGAAAGCAGTTTGTATTCAGCTCACTGTGAACACACTGGATTTAATCACATTACATTTTTGTGGACAATCGAACGTCTCCTGTGTTCATGATTTATGCAGTCTCATTTGAGCCTGTTCCTGGACGTCGGTCAGCGAGAAGCTTGAACAATTTTCTTTATGAATAAAAGTCAATCAAAAGAATCATTTAAAAATATTAGAAACAATTTATTTTTGACGTACTATATCATGCAAAAACATGTAAAATGCACTTAAATGCGATTCAGTTAGGATATTTTATGTCATACTCTAGTCTGCTGCTGGTGCATCATGGGACATGTTATGTTGAATATCCATAAACTTCTGTCCTTGAATAGGTCACATAAACAGTATTAAAATAGCATAAAATGCATAAAAAGTATTTATGATTGAAGTTCAACAAATATATGCTACTAAAACATTAAAATATGTTTATAAAAATACAAAAGTGCATATGAAAACTAGAACATTCACAGGAAATAAAACAGTAAATGCAATTGCAGTGTCACATTCACATTTCGATTCTCTTAAAAAACAGTTTCCCCGACATTAATAACAACCTTAAAAGCAGAGTAATAGATTCAGTAAATTATATATGTGAACGCTATTTAGAAACATTTACCTCAAGTTAATGGCTATTAGCTCTCACAGGAAACAGTACTGAATAAGTGCTTATTTTGTACAAAATCTGAAAAAGTTGTCACATTCACTCTAGTCAATATTTCTCAGCATAGATGTCAGTTTCTATATAGACATACTGAATAGCTAAAAGCTAAATAGCTAAAAAAAATAAATAAAAAAAACACTGAAGATTTCCATATTACTGGCCAGGAAAATCAAAGTAGATCGTCACAAAACAAAAAAAATTATAATCCGTAAAAAGGTAAATATAAAAGGTATCATATACGAAAATATCACACATATTTTAGACAACAAAAAGAGTCTAACAGGGATGATATATTTTTTTGTAGGCCATGGAAACAAGTTGCATTTTAGAACTTCCAGCTCCATCGTCCCAAAGTCAATGGATTTTTTTTAACGGGCTGTTGGTTAAATGACTGAAATAAGGTCTCTGTGCTTAAAACAAGCTTAAGATAGTTATTCTACAACAAAATACAACCATATTTCCAGAATAGTTGGGACATTTTGAAAAATGCAATAAAATCAAGAATCTGTGATTTCTCTTGAACCTTTATTTAACTGAAAAATGTACAAAGAAACTATAATGTTTTCACTGAGCAACTTGCACAAACCAAGTCTTCTCTGGATTCCCAGAATCTTTTTACAATATTATAAGGTAGAAGGTGAAAGGCATCAATTCGATGTAATCTTGCATTGAGAAATGTGATATTTGAATTGTTTGACAATTCTCTCATGACATTTGGCATATTTGGGTCAAAATGACCCATCTTTGCTTGCAAAGACTGAGAAGCTCCTTTTACACCCAAACACGATACCCTCACCTATTACCAACTCACCAACTTATTGTGGACTGTTTCCAAAAGAGTTGGATAATCTAATTTGGATAATCCTTTCACTTTTATTTGGCCTCTGCTCTCTGTCCCAACTTTTTTGTAGTGTGTTGAAGCCATCATATAAAATACGATTATGTTGTTCAGTAGAAACATTGGAATCATTTTCTTTGTACCCTTGTCAGATAAAAAAAAGGTTCAAATCACAGATTGTGAATGTTATTGCATTTTACAATACTTTTGTGTAAATGGGGTTGTACATCAGTAATACCTCCTTGTGTGTAGTGTGTTGCTGTAAGTGGCTAAACGGGAGAGGTTGTTGGAGACGATAAAAGTCGTCACAGCGAACAGGTAAGCTCATCTAATCTGCACTAAAGCACTAATCTGCTTTTACAGCCTTTTGTGTTTATAAATTACAGCCTCTGTGTGCTTTCAGGAAAAAATAATTGTATACAAAGACTGAAAGAGCTGTTGGAAGCTTAATTGTGGTACAGTCATGCAACTGTAATGTAGTTCCTTTATAGCCAATGTTTAGCTTTTTACTACTAAAAAGTAAATACTACAAATCCTAGTAGTATTTGAGCTGAAAATTTCATAAAAGTTGTTAATTTGTAAAGATTGTCATGATGAACAGAATGGGGAAGAATCATAATTTGGTTTGGTCACAGAGGTTATTTTCTGCAATAATCCAAAACCCAATGGGAAAAATCCTATTGGGTTTATTTTCAAGGGAACCAGGGTGATGTGACCTATATTAAATAGTTAATGAATGTATCCCAGTGTGTTTTCTGAGACATTGCACTTGTGATCAACTTCCTCCACGTGACAACTAGCCCCGGTCAAAGACATTAATTTGCACCCAATTCTTACAGTAATTCTCTTTTGTAAGAGACCAAAAAAAGTGGACATGTACGGAAACAAAGTACACCCCAGTGCACAATCACTCCGTGTTTGAATTTATGGTGTGTACAGGCGTCGCTGAAAGGAAGCGCTGACCCTTTGCTTCCACCCTCACTTCCTCCCGAACCTGATGAATCACCACATCTCCAACAGCTGACGGCACAAACAGAAGCAGGGTCAGTATCCCGCCGACCTGCCGTTCTTCCTGGCGTCAGATACGGCACTGATGCACTGTCCTTCTTTCGATATGCCATTGACCACATTGAAAAAGTATGGGTTGTCCTCTACTTTGTGTCCGAACGCCTTCATTGCCTTAATAAGGGACTGAAAAGAAAAATTCAACAATTTACTACTTATTGTTTACTAAGTCACTTTTGATTACTGGTTACAAAACAATGACTACGTTTACATGCAGCCAATTTTTGGGTTATGTTCGGGTTAAGGTCACTATTCGGGTTTCTGAAACATTAGGAATAACCTGTTTACATGCATGAGCAGAGAGAGTTTCTCCTGTATACATGGAATTGCAATATCCCTATGTAAACGGCGACTCGCGGTTAGCGTCTAGACGTACGGACAACCTTAAGACGCAATACGAGTCATTTCCGGTTCTTCTTCCTGTATCCAAAGACAACAACAACAGCAGCACGCGGATAATGAATAGTTTGGGGCAGATAGCGATCGCCTTTGTTTGCGCTTTGATGCTGGTAACGTTACTGAGCTCGCTCCAAAAGTATGCTGTGCTGTGTCTTGCCTGGTCTCGCCATGTTTACTTCCGTATAACTTACTGCACGCGGATTTTGTATGCGCCGAGAAGTTTCTCTACTCAAAAGACCAAGATTCCTTGTGATTAGAACATGCGCAGAACACAAATCACTACGGGGATATGCAGATATGCGTTTACATGACCAAATATATAACTGTATAACATAAATGTATAACATCCCGTTATTAAAATCCGGAATATGAGTATATTCGGGTTTTTGCTGGTGTTTACATGGCTGTTTGCGACCGGGTTATTGCTAATATCCCGGTTTTGAACGGGTTATTGGCTACATGTAAATGTAGTCACTGATTATAATCAGTGACGGGGGCATTTCCATAGGAAGTAAGAGCAATCAGTACATTCACACTAACAACATGTGATTTTGGGAGTGTGATTCGTGGTGACATCCAATGCTTGACATTAACTTTTTTGCTGACCAGCATTCTCACTGGCCACAATTGTGACAGATACCATGGAGAAAAACTGCCATATAGATATTTTTAATATCTCATGTGTTTGGCAGCAGGTATATTAGGCTGCTGTCATTTTAAAACCTGACGCATGGATCAATTATTCTGTTACGCATGTGTTTTCTTTCTCAACTGTTTACGTTAAAACACAACTGACTGTGTTTACGTGAATACTCGCCAAGACTGGAATTTTGACATTATTGTGTGTGTATTTGACTGTTTAGGCACAATAAGAAATGAAAAATAACTAAATTTAGTATTGAGAGGCGGCTTTATGTGCGCGCACATGGATGTGAGCACAAAATCTAAAATTATGCGCAAAATGCTCAATCCCATGCTGATATTTAAGCCAACAATATTCACCCAGAGCAAAACGAGTGAGTGAGGGGAGGCGGGTAACACGCTGTTGGAGAGATGAATGAGAAAAAGCTTAACTGTGCATCTATTCAGCTGAAAAAATATTGGAAGCGTTTCAGATATTTCATTCTCAAAATATTGACATTGCACTAAGTTTATTATTTCAGATGCCTTTTTTAAAAGGCTCCAATTGAAAAATGTTTATATTAAATACATAATAAAAAAAAATCAACCAGCCAAAGTGAGTAGTAAAAGTGACTGCGTTACACACAACTGAAATCCACCTGCATCTGGCGAGTGTTACTGTCAAACCCCGGTGACATCCTAATGTAAGTGTGGAAATGATAAATTCCAAAGAACTTACTTCGTTGAATCCTTTCTCAAAGTTGAGGTTATTATTGGCGTCCACAAATACTATTTTAGCAGCGATAGATTCGTCAAGGTTCATCCCAAACCACAAGTGGTTCATAATGGACTGAAAGAGAAAGAGAATGAGGGGAGGGTCAGGTTATTGACAGGTTATTTTTATTTTATTAACAGAATATCTCTGCACTGCATCTATGGATATTCAATGAAAAGAGGCAAAGAAAATTATTATTTAGAATTTCTTTTAGACTGCAAGACCATGGACATCCAATAAAAAAAGAGAAAACATAAAAATTTCATCCCTTAGTGCATATTTGAAATTTTATTGACTGTTAATGCATGACAGACAATTTTATTGCTCAAGTAACATTTTACTAGCCTGGCTGCGCCCTCCTACGCACTTCCGCTCAATTTCATTTTACTTCTGTAGCCTACTACGTCTGGGATCGCTCCATATCCTTAGGTTTCTAGAAACCAATTTTTTGTAGGACCAATCAGCGAATAGAGGGAGTGGCTGAGAAAGATGACGTTGATGTAAGCGCGTCAGTTTCAATTCAGTAATGGCAGCGGAGAAAGACGTGAGAAAAGCTATTCGGTCCGTTGTTGGAAAAGAAACTGCCGAATATACAGAATTTAAAGCCGGATTGTTATCGTCTCACCTCTTGTTGCACAACTGAGGACCAAGTGAAGGAGGCAGAAAGTTTGGAAGTTTGTGCTGGGCAGTTCGTGCACGATGACCGTGACATTTTGGACGGACGGTTTAGCCTGGTGTTCGCGGTGTTCGGAAGCCCCGAGTCCTGGCTGCTAAACTATGGTTGAAGATCCGCTCAGGAGTCATGTCAGTCGCTCATATTCCCAACTGTATATTTACTGATTCTTGTGATGAATAGAACATTTTGAGCCCCTTTGTGCACTCGTGCAGGAGGTTGTTGTGTCAGTTTTACATGTTGTAAATCATACAAATTGGTTGTGATTTAAAAAAAAAATAATTGTCATAAATAAAAATGTGAAAAACCATACTTTGAAGATATTTGATTTTCAGTTTTAGATGGCAATGGTTGATTTGTTTTACTAAAAAAAAAATAAATGCCACATAAAAATGTACAAACACATACTTTGAAGACCATAATTAAGGCAATTAAGAAACAATAAGACGTAATATGAAAAATTGTTGTTTATTACACATCTGCAGATAGAGACAGACTGATCATTCACTGTAGCTGCTACAGCATTTGCGGCAGATCAGAAACGACCACAGCGGCGTATTTGTAATGATTAGACACAGCTTCCACCATTGAATGAATATATCACTGTCCTTCGTGTCAAATATACATTTCGAATTAATAATTGTTCCTAGATTAACAAAACCTGCGGCGCTCGTTGACTGAAATCCTATTGTAAACATAATCCTCTGATCATTCGGACTTGTTGTTTCCAGCCATTTCGGCGCGTGACATACGTCACTCACGACACCCCGTTAGCGATTGGCTATGGCAGATCGTGAGTGACTTTGGGCAGATCCAATAGATTTGAACTTTAATAGTGAACCCGCCTACAATGAAGGAAACGTTTTTGAATGGAGCGGTTCCAGACTCTATGTGGAAATGAAATGAACTAGAGTCTGGTTGAACCAGGCTAACATTTTACTTGGAGGAATCATGTAAGTGCTTTTACAAAAATATGATTTTAAAGTCAATGCTGACTGTACTCTGCCTTTTTCTGGGTGAAACAGGATATTTAACAAGAAGGGAACAAAACCAAATGTATTTTGACAGTAAAGGCGTGTTCACACCAAAGATGATCACTATAACTATAATAGTAATAGTTTAGCAGTATTAGTAGCAATACTTAGTATAAAGATATAGTTCTAAAAATGGTGCCAAATTCAAAAGATTAGCAGTGTTGACAGCACGACTATAACAATACAGAAAAGAGAAACGATATCATTGAAATAACTTTCAGAACAATTTTTTTCATCTGTTGCACTTGCACGATAAAAACATTGACAGCCAATCAGAATCTATCCTGCTTTGACAAGCTCGAGCATTTAAAGTCACAGACGACAAACTGAAGCATGTTTAAATAAACGGAACGATATTGTACTCTGGACTGGTGTAGACACCATGTAGTTTTCATTCTTGGTGTGAACAGGCCTTAATGGGCCTCAGTAAAAGAAAAGAGAGAGAAAACAGTCATTAGGTTGGAAAACAAAATACAAGTACAATTTCAAATAGTTAAAATAGATCAGATTAGTTAGGAAAAATTAGTATATATAGTAGAAAATGTTTACATTTATGCATGCTTTATCCATGTAAGTGATTTACATTGGATACTTTGGACAAACAAAAATGAACATTGACAACACCGATAACTTCAAATGGAGTTTGACTCCAACTCACCAGGGCCATGGCTGCGGTGATCATACTTCCTCCTGATCCACCAATCACCAGAGTCTTCTGCTGGGACACGGACTGCAGGATGGTAGGAGCCATCGAGGAGGGAGGCTGTTCGCCTGGAGAGAGAGAACAAAAGACAATATGGTGACATGAAACCTCAACACATGCCAAATGTAATAAGAGATATAGTTGGAGAATGATCTTCACCTGGATTGATGTTATCTGCTCGGCCGCAGAAGTCAGCAAGCTCGTTGTTGAGGATGACACCCGTTTTAGGAGAGTAAACAGCTGACCCAAACCTGAAGATTTTATAAATAGAGGATTATTTATGATTTATATTATTAATAAAATGTATTATTATAGAGATACTATGCAAAAGTAAGGTTTGCAAATGCAAAGGTTTGTAAGATATGCTTTAGTAAATACCATTGATTCCTGTGATCAAATCTGAATTTTCAGCAATTTTCATCAGTGTCACATGATCCTTCAGAAATCATTCTAATATGATTGGTGCTTAAGAAACTTTTTTTTTCCGCAACTTTGGTGTTTGCAAATGTTTATTATTATCAATAATTTTCAACTGTTGTTCTGCTTAATATTTTTGCAGAAACTGTCATAGATTTATTGATGAATAGAAAGTTCAAAAGAACATTTATTGATTTTTTTAATAATGTAAAAACCTTTGCAGTTGCATTTTATCAATTTACTACATCGCTGCTGAATACAAGTTTGTGTATATTTTCATATTCTGTCCCTTTAAACTAAAAAAAAAAAAAACATTTTAAAATGAAAATTCTGTCATTTACTCACACTTTGGTGACCCAAAACTGTATGAGTTTCTGTCTTCTGTTGAACGCAAAATAAGATATTTTGAAGAATGTTGGTAACCAGACAGTTTATATGCCCCATTAACTTCCATAGTTGAAAAACAAAAATACAGTGGTCAATGTCAACTGATAAAAGGGAAAATGGATCCTGTCAACTGTATGGTTACCAACATTTTTCAGAATATCTTATTTTGCGTTCAACAGAAGAAAGAAATTCATAAAGGTTTGGAACATGAGGGTGAGAAAATGAAAACAATTCAATTTTGACTGAAATATCATTTAACAGGATCTCTTCTTGCATCTTATGTCTTTTAGAAGTGTCTGTTACTGTTTCGGAGTACCGGTGCAGAAGGTGTGGCCTGAGCTCAAGCCAGCAGAGATTGGTGTAGTCTTGGTTTCATTGAAAAAGGACTACCCCAAACACTCTAAGGAGACCGAATGCATGCCACTTGTTTTTTTCTCGGTCTTGGTTCATTTGATTTATAATTCTTAGGTTGCTGTTTTGAATTAGTTCGGCCTTCAGTTATATTGAGTACTTTTCAATGTAAATACTCAATTTAAGGGAAGATGGGAGTGTGACGCCATTTCTTTTACCTATATGTTTATTTTATGTTTTGGGTTAAAGGAGTAATTCACTTTTTAAAACACTTTTGCTGATAATTTGTCATCCAAGAAGTCTATGTCTTTCTTTCTTCAGTCGAAAAGAAATTAAGGTTTTTGATGAAAACATTCCAGGATTTTTCTCCATATAATGGACTTCAATGGGAACCAAACGGTTCAAGGTCCAAAAGACAGTTTCAGTGGAAACTGCAAACTGTTCAAAGGGCTTTAAACGATTCCAGGCGATGAATAAGGGTCTTCTCAAGGGAAACGATCACTCATTTAAAAAAAAAAATCAAAATGAACTAATCTTTTTTTGAGTCATTTGGTTCATTCAACGAATGAAATGAACGTATTGACTCGGAAAAAAGATTCGTTCATTTTGATGAACGAGTTCGAACAGGAGAGTCACGAATGTGCATCACAGAACAGAGCAAGGAGAGCATTTGAGCTTATAAAACTTAAACTTTGTTTTTTATTTTGTTTCTTTAAATGACCTATCGTTTCGCTTGATAAGACCCTTATTCATCGCCTGGAATCGTTTAAAGCCCTTTGAACAGTTTGCACTGAAACTGTCTTTTTGACCTTGAACTGTTTGGCTCCCAGTAAAGTGCATTATATGGAGAAAAATCCTATAATGTTTTTTAAAAAAAAAAAAAAACTTAATTTCTTTTCGACTGAAGAAAGAAAGACATGGACATCTTGGATGACATGGGGGTGAGTAAATTATCAGCACAAGTTTTGTTTTAAGTGAACTACTCCTTTAAGGAGTTAGGGAAGTTGCATATATGTTTCTTTTGATGTGTTTTTATTTCTTTTAAGGTATTTAGATGAACTGTAAATGTGTCTCACATGTGGTTGATGGTGCTGGTGACTGAAACAGCAGTGCCATCTGCTGCCATCACTGAAACATGTGTGGTGCCAAAGTGGTCGACTGATGGGGCGATGTTATAGTAAGAGAGGTTGTGTGTGTGGCCGTCAGTGATCAGAGCCCTGATAAGCTGGATGAACTTCTCATCTGTGATGTGCGTCATCTGCATTCACAGGGCACAAGAAAAACATCAATAAATCTAGTATAATATTGTCCCAGTTAATTCAAAATTAATTCAGTTTAGTATGATGTTTATTTCGGAGTCGCTTTTCTTTGGAATTGTTTTATGTTGGTAATTGAAATCAAATTCTTATCAAACTTCCTTTAAATGCATGCTTCGTTAAGCATTGATTAATTACTTGCTTTTGTGTGGCCTTCAAAAGAAATAACATCCGGCCCTTCATAGTATTTACTCAACCCTACAAAGTCCAGTGATGTTATGCTCACTACAGCCAAAAATAGCAAATATAACTGCAGAACCTCTGATGTTGTGTAATGTTCCAGACAGAAAAGCATATCACATTGACTATAATATGAGTCCAGGCACCACAGTATTAATGAAGCAAGAGCCATACATTGGGGTTGAAGAGGGGGTCTTTGAGGTTACGCTTCTGTCCATTTGCAAACTTAACCGCCTCTAGGAAGCGATGCAAAGTCAAGGTTTTCTGGTCTCCATGGTTGGAGGCTTGAGAGAGCCCGAACTCTGAGGAAAACAAAAGGGATGCTGAATATTTATAGGCGACAGCTGCTTCAGAACTGTTGGCTTCAAAGCCATGGTGATTTTTTTTTTTTTTTGTCGTCTACTACTAGACCCTACCATGCATTAGTTTCAGGATAAAGCTGAGTATCGCTCCCCCTGCTGGTGGAGGAGGGAAGTGCATCTTATAGTCTCCTATTTGGACTGTCCACGCATCACTCTCTCTGACCTTAAAAGTGCTCAGATCTTCTAATGATAATGTTCCATCTGTAAAAAACATAAGTAAATTGTAAACAAGCACACTTGCCCAAACAACCAACAACTGTATTTCGAAAGCACCACGTCTGTTCTGATTACAGCGACAGCAGTTTGTGTACAAACAATACTTACTTCTCGCTTGTACATCCTGTATTAAATCCTTGCCGATTTTTCCAGTGTAAAAGGCATCGGCTCCTTCTTTGGCAATAGTTTCCATTGTTTCGGCAAGCCGGGGAAACTTCAGGATGTCCCCTGGGCCAAAAAATGTCTTGTTCTTGTGGCAGAACAGTTCACTAGGGAACATACAGTACACAAACAAATTAGTTACTAAAACCAGACAGAAAACAACTCCAGAACTAAATGAAACAAACATGCTCATATGCATTCTTCAGGTAATAACCCGGCCAGTTGAAACAAAATGTGATTAAACCTGCCAAGAACATGTCTAGATCCTATTTCACCCCAAAATAATATACATATATATATATATATATATGCTCAAAAGTGTGGGGTCTGTATTTTTGAAAAGTCTCTTATGCTCACTTAGGTCGCATTTATTTAATAATATTTTTATATTTTTAAAATAACAGCTATATTATATTATATTATATTTTAAAATTACATTTATGTGATGGAAAATCTGAATTTGTGCTGTTTAAACATTCTTCTGGAAACAGTGATACAGATTTTTTTCCAGAATTCTTTGATGAATGAAAGTTTTTTTTTTTTTTTTTAAACAGATATATTCTTATAAATGATTATACATCTACTGTGACATTTGGTTAATGTAATGTGTTGTTGCTGAATAAAAGTATTGATTGTTTAAAAAATATATATATTAAAGACGCCAAACTTTTGAACGGTATATATAGATTATGATCAAGGTATTAATCTATATTTTTCCTTTTAAATATCAAAGGAGTTAAATGACTTCTTATGAGATGTATGAATTACTGTACATGTCTGTTTGATGGAATGTGCATGTTTTTGAGAGGCAGATAAAACATGTTAAAACATATGCACTCTTCTAGCTGAACAAGACAGTCGAGGTCACTGGGGTCACATAGACTTAATTACTTTTCTATATCCAAACTAGATAATAATAATGGAATATTGTCTTAACCTCTCACTGGAAGGTCACAATGTGCCTAACTTCAGGATCCGAGTGTCAGCCGCATAATTGATGGAGATATGCTTCAGTCTATCTGTCCATGTGTGGAAAATTACTTTGTTTATCTATTTCTTAGCCAATCAGAATCATTCAATCTAAAGTAATGACGTAGCGTATACCTTGATGAAGGGTAAAACTGCTGTGATTTTTGTAAATGTAAAACAGGGCGGCCAACAAACTCTTTGTGAGTTCTTGAAGCTGACTTCTGCCTGATGAAACTGAAAACTATCTTCAGTAAAAAGATATTTAATAGAAAACTGGTGATCAATGCTGCTTTTATTCATGCAGCAGAAAATATCTCTTTACACAACAATGTATTCAATTTCATGTGGTTTGCCTGAGGCTAAGTCATAACCTACTTCTTTGACATTAATCACTTGGAATGTTAAAGGTTCATCATACTTGTGCCTTTAAATAAACTATTGCATTGAGATGTCAGTCACAACAGTATTAAACATTAGAGTGTTGGAGAAGATACAGTACCAGAGTCCAGACCCAAAAATGAGCTGTTCTCTAAAAGTTGTCCGGTTAATCATTTGCAAGAATCGACAGAGGAAGACTGGCATGGGAAATCCCTCTCGTGCAATCTTGATGGAGGGCTCGAACAGTTTGGCCCAGGGCAGCTTTCCATACAATTGATGAGCCCGTTCATAGCCACGGATTTCTCCTGGTACGCCTATCCAGTGACTTCCTGTGAGATACATGGACAAATATAATATAAAATAGTCAGGAATTTGCAGCGTTCTGTGAACTACATTTCAAAAATACATCGGAGTCAGTATTTAAGGACGCATTAAATCAAAACTTTTAGTAAAGATATTTCAATCATTACAACTCTCTGAAAAGGTTTGTTATGTTATTGAATAATGTTAATGTATTAGGTCTTGGCGGAATAGATCTGCTGCTGCTGTTGATTATTGCTGCTGCTGCAGAGCAAGTAGAAACTTGCTGCTGATAATAGACACACACACACACACGCTGCTGTGAGCATGTAAGATCTGCTGCTACATACATTAGTACTGTAGGAAAGAGGCAGGTGGAGCTGGGGGAGGAGGAGGGTTTCAGAAGAACTCTTACAGCAAACACTGAACCAGACTATTTAAATCTTAAGAAAGCAATCTCATTGGCTGCAGGATTGGCAGAGGCCAATCAGGTTGTGTCATAAGTAATAAATGCATGCAGATTGCATGTAATGGACTGCTCAGTCTGCGCCCTCTAGAGTTTCATAACTGAACTATTTATAATGAACCAACATTTTATATATTTATATATATAATATATATATAATATATATATATATATATATATATATATATATATATATATATATATATATATATATATTATTTCAAACTTTCTAATCATCAAAGTCAAAATGATCATCAAAAATTATTTTAGGCATAGGCTCAGGCATCTATTTAAACCCCTAGTGTGAAAAATAAGAAAAGACACATTTCAAGACTTACTTGAATGAAATTTGGTCTGAAACAATAAAAAAGCCCATATTTTGGCTTTTATCGGAACACTGCATGCAAAGATTTGGCATCAACTACAGCCAAATCAGATTATTTCCAGCTTTAATTTCAGTGTAGTTTCGTTCTTTTACATGCTTTTGGGAATCTCTTTTTGGAACAAAAAATTACAGAAATACAATAATAAAAAGAGTTGGACTATGAGTGTGAGAACATTTAGACAGCAACACTATTCGTCATCAGTTGAATCTAGCTTTTGCGTAATTCTGGGTAAATATATTAGTCACTATAATCAGTTTATCTGGCATTTTAGCTGTTCAGGAAGTGCACTTAAGAAAAGGAAACAGGCAAAACAAGTCCACTTAAGTACACAATTCTATAAGACTAAATTCCCCTCACCCGCACACAATGTCCCGTTGTATTTTTTTTATATCTTCAACATACTCATATGTTATTTTACACAAGATAAGATCTATTACAACAGGGGAAACATTTTAGAAATGACATGTTTACGAAACCTAAAATTCCATATAAAGTTATGTCATTGGTTACTCTTAACACATAACATTTCCTTCTTCCGTGAATCATAAATGGATAAGTCAAGCAGAATATCTGAGCTTGGATGAAAAGTGGATGACGATTTATACAGCCAAACTCCAAACAAGACAACAAAAAAGCACCATTGTTTTTAATGCAAGAAATAAAATAATGTGGCTTTAAAATAACATAAGATTGAATACATGATGTATTTAATGAGTAAATGATGGGTGAACTTTCCCTTAAGACATTTCACCTTCTGTCTAAATGAAAGACTAATGTGGGATGCTTTACCCTGCTTCCAAGTAGTAGAGCTTTACCTGTTTCAAACGCCATTTTTTTCGAGCACTTATTCAGCAAATCCGCTCTGACATTTTTTGGAACCGTTTCTCTTGAGCTGATGATTTTCACTTTGCCTTGAAAAAAAAACAAAACAAAAAAAAAAAAAAACAGAGGAGTGCTTAAACTGGTGGGTTTATGCATATTTTATTTTCAAAATGGTATCAAGCCTTGTTATTTACGCCATGTGTACTTTTCTTTGTCTCTTTTAACCCTCTGGGGTTGTTCGGCCCAAATGGACCCGAAGAACTTAAATAATTTTTTTTTTTTAAAATCACAGCTTCCTCGGAATGGTCCGGAATTTGGTGACTTTGTTGATATTTGGTATTTGAAGACCCCAAAAAATTGGGGACAGGATGTGAGTAGTCTAAGTGGTTGTAAAAAAAATAGTCACACTTGGGGTGTTCGGGTCCAAATGGACCCACATGGAAAATTAATGGGAAATTGGCAAAAATGTGAAAATACTGAGTTTTTTTTGTGCGTACAATCTACAAATCAGCAACGATCTTGAAAAAAAGCACACAACAGTGAAGGGGTGAATCTATAAAACATCAAGAGTGCAAAACAGACACATCCAGACACACATACACAAACACACTTTTATACACAAACACACCAAACAATTCAGATTATACATGTGTTTTGCATTTTTAAAATGCTAAAAATTGCTTTTATGAGGCCTAGGCTTGACTCTAAAATGAAATACAGCTTTAAAAAAAACAAAATATTAAAAAAAATATTTTTTCTATTATGTTCAATGGGGGGACATTTTGTCATAATTATTGCATTAATACTAATTATAATTTTTTTTTTTTTGAAATTTTCTCAAAACACCAAAAAAGAAAAGAAAAATATTAGAAAAAACGAGTAAAAAAAAAAAATCATGATTTTTGTTTTTTTTAAATATGAATCCCACCCTTTGGGTCCATTTGGACCCGAACACCCCGAGTGTGACTCTGAAACGAACAACCCCAGAGGGTTAAGAACAACTTTTAACTAACAGGTCAGCCCAGCAGAAAAATCCAGAGTTATCTGGTCTTTAATAAATGTTAGCACAAACTGTTATTTATACATTTTTCTTTTTTTTTTTGTTGGATGGGATGGTCGTCTAATGTTTTACAAATGTTTCCGAGAACATTAAAAAGTAATGTTCCCATAATGTTTGCAAAATGATAAAATGGAATGTTCAAAAAAAAAAAAAAAAACGTTTTAAAAATGTTTAAATAACTGGACGTTTTGAACCTAATGGGAATGTTAGCAAAACAATGTTATTGTTACACTTTATTTCAATGCTTCACTTTATACTTTTTATTAACTACAAGTAACTTTGCAACTACATGCCAATTAATTCTCAATAGAGTATTAGTATACACTAGAAGACTGGTAGTACACCGTTAGGTTAGATTTAGCTGTTAGAGTTTCATTCGCCTGATGGAGTTTTGGTTCCTTGCCACTGTTGTCTTGCTTTTGGCTTGCTTAGTTGGGGACATTTAATATTCAACAATATTATCTGTATTGTATTATTTTCATGTTCTCACTGTGAAGCTGCTTTGATACAATCTGTATTGTAAAAAGAGCTATAAATAAATGTGACTTGACTTGACTAGATTTGAGAAAGTATATTAAGTTGATATGTACTGTATAGTTTTATGTTACAAGTATAGTTGTATTTATGGAATGTATGGAAGTTACTTAGTTGGTAGAATGTCTGTTGGGGGAGCATCAAAAGTGTTAGCACAAATTAAGCAGACAGTTTACTAATACTCTAATGACATAACATGTACAGAAGTTGCAAAGTTATTTATACTTAGTCCAACGTCTAAACTGGACCATCGAAATAAAGTGCTACCCATGTTTTTGTTAGCTGGGAAACCGGCTCAGAATAGCATAAACAAGTCAATACAAACATAATTCCTGCTGGTCTATGCTGGATTTTTCAACAGAAAGTCTAGCTTTCCATTAAACTTATCCAGCAGCCTTACCAATGATGTTTTATGACTTCTTATGATGCAATTTTGACAGCACAGGCCAAAACAAACATTTTTTTTTACTTAAATTATTAGTGCTTTTCACAATTCATAAACAAGGAGAAACCTGTTTTGTCCATGATGGTAAAGATGGCCCCTCCACCCAAGCCCATGCTTTGTGGGTTGACCAGTCCAGTGCAGAGCAGCGCTGCGATGGCTGCGTCCACTGCTGAGCCCCCCTGAAGCAGCATGTCCCTGTGAACACAACACATATCATCACCACTTTAGCATAGGGTTACAATCTGTTATCATCCCAAAATAACAAGAAAAAGAATAATTATATTTTGCGTTAAAAAATGTTTGTTGTTTACATTCAATTTGGATGCTGTGCTGACTTTATTTTCATGACAATCAGCGGTTTCATGATCAGCAGTGACTGGCTGCTGCTATAGCTGTCTATGTCATTCATAATTGTTAACCGAACAACAAAACACAGCTTTAACAAAGATGCCTCCCCCAACCCCCTTTTTTTGCTGATGCCAAAAAATGATTCGATTCATCAAAGGCATCAAAGGCACAGTGCGTAAGCTTCAACGCTAGATGGGACGTTTTTAACATGCTGATAAGCCCCAGTCAGCCGCCACCACTCCTTTTGTTTTGTTGTTTGTTTATGTATTTTTACAATTAAAGTTACATTTAACGCCCGCCTCTTTCTTCCCTGAAATTTGTTACAGTAATGTTTGATCACTTAAATTCCATTACTTTATTTCATTCTAATGTAACAGCTGCAAATACTGAATTTCTATGACACTTTGACGAAGTAAAGTTGCGCGGTAAAGCTAGGGAAAAATAATACTAAAAATACATTTGATTATGTTGAAAGTCATGTTATAACATTATATCCACTTCATCATTAGCTCGGGGGCTGGCAGGAGACACTTATTGCACATCGTAAGCTAGATTGATATTAGAATATCACATTTAAAAAAGCTGAATGATTTGTGTTGCTACAGTAAATGGCATGCAATTAATTTGAAAATATACTGTATGATAGCGAAAATGCTGTATTACTGTGCCTAAAATACTATTGTCTCTAAAGTGTGGTGGTAAATCAAGAGAACAAGAGATTCAAACTAAACAAATAACCATTTTGAGCTATATAATTAGTTTTCTGTCAAAAATTGTATCCAAACAACTGCTCATCTGTCTAATAAAACATATCAAGCATAGTGTTAGTTCTGGCAGGAACTCTCAGCTGATCCACGTCTACCAATAGGAATACGACGCCTATCACTGTATATAAGCTCTTCATTATTATCAGCAGCTATTGCATTTTTCAGGAGCGAATTACCCTCCTCCCTCCCCAGCTCCGCCTCTCTTGCAGTCAGGATTTGGCATTCTGATTCCCCTTTGAATCAAACTAAATTCTCAAATTATGTTGTACAATAAAATATTGAATAATGATATCTGCAATACATTCATGTTGGTTGTGTTCGGTTTACCCTAAGGGGGGTTATCGCTGCTATCCCTGTTCTTATCCATGCTAGGCTACATACTGCTAGGCTATACCGCCAATCCTAACTGCATGCTAATCCTCAATCATCTTTAATGACAATGGTCCTGAGAGAATTCATAATATTGAAGAGTCTTTCGCAGAAAATGAGGGTAACACAGATCTGACGTCATTGACAGCCGATGCAGTGACGTGGGACATTGCACTGTTTAAAATGGCTGATTTCTCTGAAAATTCTGCATTTTGACATTATAGGAAACATTTGGTATAATGTAAATATAAAGTCAACAAAATATATAACATTATTCTACTGTTTTATTTTTTAATTTAATCCAAAAATCTTACATATTATTACTTTAAAAACTCAATGCTTCAGGGAATATGACATCCACGATATCACTGTTCCTTAAGCTGCTCAGGCAAGTCTGAGCCAGAGGAGAAGTGATCCCCGAGAGCTCAATGAACCTTGAGAGTTCCAGCCTTCACAAACATGCATAGAAAACATGTGCACAATCTGGCAGAATTCGCAAATTTCTTGCTTTCTAAGTGAGTGTTAGCACTCTCTTGTGTTTAAGCACATTTATGGGTCAAACTAGTTGTGTCTCTGCATGCAGCAGTGACTTGCAAGAATAATAGGGCAATACGCCACAAAGGATGATCTCCGATTTCTGATTTCACAGGATGTCTTGACCTGATTAAAGGAAACGTGAGATCTTGATGAAAAAAAAAAAAATCAAACATCTGAAACATAAGAGAATTTCTTATAAGAGTATCGGTCTTTATATCAATAGAGCACAACATAAGTCAAGTCAATTTATTTATAGAGCACAACATAAACACAACATGTGTTGATCCAAAGTGCTTTACAGACGGTCAAGAGAAAAAGAAGAAGGAGAAAAAAACAGTAATAATAACAGTAATAAAAATTAATGGAGAAAACTATTAATAGTAATAAACTAATAATAAAAGAACATGGTAAGTGATATGATTTTAACCATCAATCACATAATGATGCATCACTTATATTCACGATAATGAATAGTCCTTGAAAGCATATTATCAGATTGTCATGGTATGTGCATGAAGTCAACAATTCTGTCAAGATGAAAACTATTCAGTTCAATTTGAGGGTGGACATTAAAGATTAGATCGGAGTTACAGTGTAAAGCTGTAATGTTATCCAGCTGCTATTACAACACAAAAGTCGAGAAAGGGAATTTTCTTTTTAATATTTCGGTAACACTTTACAATAAGGTTCGTTAGTTAACATTAGTAAACTACATTAGTTAATATGAACTAATAATGAATAGCACATATACAGCATTTGTTAATCTTTGTTAATGTTATTTTCAACATTTACTAATACTTGATTAAAATCTTGTTAACATTAGTTAATGCACCGTGAACAAACAATGAACAGCTGTATTTTCATGAACTAACATTAACAAAGATGAACAAATGCAGTAACAAATGTATTGCTCATGGTTAGTGCATGTTAGTAAATACATTAACTAATGTTAACTAATGAACCTTATTGTAAAGTGTTAACAATATTTCAAATTTCCCGCCTAGACCGCAAAGAGAACAAATAGAGATCAAATTTCAAGTGCTCGCTCCAAGCCTGTTATGCTGAACAAGCAGTGCCTTGTTGTTTGTTCACAATGAGACACAAACCCCCTCTTCAGAAAGTACACGATGTCACAGTACTTTTTTCTTTATCTTTATCTTTTCTTTATCTTTTTTCATCAATGTTGACAATTCTTTTTTATACTACAGTAAATTTATATGCTGTGGTAATCTTTAAAAAGTAACTAACGTAATGCATAAGAGACGGAAAGAGGCAGAGAACCATACATTAGTTAAGGTTATTTCTATTTGTTACGATATTGATATATGAACTGATGTTGTCAAGTAAGCTTCACGCTTTCCCTGTTGCGAGCGTGCACTCCCCCAAGCCCCCAGCAGGCCCCACAACCACCAAAGCCTGCGGGTCCAGCTCGCCCTCCCCCCCGTCTTTCGAATATCTAGGTATTGTGTTTAAAGGTGCTCAACCTCTTGTAGATCTGTTTCTGTCAAGAAGAGATGCTTAAATATTTATGAAGGATATATCTTTATATATCTTCATATCTGCTGATTTTCTCCTTGATTCTTTTAACTCTAAAGTTAAGTGTAATTGATGATATTGCTCCTGGGAAAGGAACAATAGTGGTAGACAAAAAACACCTTGGAGAAACTCAACAGCTGTGGAAAATATGAAAAGACAATGCAGAAGAGCAGAACGCATGTGGTGGAAGACAAAAGTTGTAGTCCATTATAATATCTACAAAGAGAGCATCCATGATTTAAATATTGAACTAGGCAAAGCTACACAGACTTTCTTCTCGAATATTGTAAACAGTAACTTAAACCAGTGGTTCCCAACCTTTTTTTGTCTGTGACCCCCTTTTTCCCAAGAAAATATTTTAGGGCCCCCCTACACATTTAATGATATTATCGCTCTTGTAAGCTTGCAGCAAGGATACAAAATATGGTTTTTGTTTCAAACAAACGGTATGTTTATGCACAAAAAATAGCCTATAATTTTGAAAATACAATGACTAAAACATCAGTAGGCCCTTTGTAATTTAACAACGTAAGCCTAGGAGAAGCCTAGGCTATTAATTGGCCCTATCTGAAATGCAAAAATAAAAATATTCACACTGTTGTTTAGGTTAAAAAAAAGAATATCTGCTATTAAATGACTGTTATCTGGGGCCTCAATACTTTGCATGTTATCTGTGAGGCTTTATCAATGTGAGGCTTTATTTTTACGCTTTTGGCGCAATAGCGAGCGATAATAAACTCGCATTTATTAACAGAATTATGCGTCTTTCGGAAAGAACAGTGTAGCCGGAACTACTTCTCTCTGTGTACGTCTATGACGAGTCACGCAGGTACTGTACTCCGCAGTGGCAGAGATCCGAACCAGTGTAAAATAGTCCCAATGTAAACAGTTATTATAGGTGTACCATAGTGGTTCAGGATAAGACAAAAACACGGATTGGAAAATGGAATCATGATGAACTCACTCATTATATATATTTTGTACATTTTGAACAGAAAAAAGTTAAGGACTTTTTTTTAATGCTCATTGCTCAAACCTTCAAAATATGCCACGACCCCCCACAGAGCTTGCTGAGGCCCCCTTGTGGGGAACCGATGACTTAAACAACATGCACAACATCCCGTTTTCATCCGGTTTTCTGTGATAGTCCTAAAATGGTTCAGGTCATACTTAGAAGGGAGAGGTTATTATGTGAGTATTGGAGACCATAAGTCTGAGTGGACATCAATGACTTGCGGAGTCCCTCGGCTCAATTCTTGCACCACTCCTATTCAATCTGTATATTCTCTCAATGAGCAAATTAAATAAAAATAGTATAATTAAAATTCTACATATATTTTATCTGACTCATGAGCCATTGGAAATATTTGCAAATCAAGAGAAAAAACTTGGCAAGGTCCAAATGAGCCAGCAAAAGTTTTTTTTTTTTTTTTCTTGAGGGGTTGTATACAGAATAGTTTTCACTAAGACATTGTGTCAAATACTCTTGTCTTGCCTTATGTAATCTCTAATCTGCATAATAATCATGGCAGACACAGAAAAAACCTGTCCCCTTTGTTTGATGCAGGCAAGTGAGACAAACTATAGCTATGCAATTATCTTTACTTCTTTCACAGTCAGATGTTTTGTTTGACAGAATGTGTGAATTCGAGTTCAAAGCATCACATGCCATTAATCCAAAAGAAGACAAATGCCTCCTCAATCCAGGATGTGCCTGGCAACTGTAACTAACTCCTCTCTGAGTCCTTTTAGAGCAGGCTAAAGCGTGACCCCAGATGAAATACCAAAGTCAAGTTCTTTGAAATGCAGTTATAAAAGACTTCACACATCGAAACAAGGAAACACAATGTACGTTTGGCACAAAATGCAGGAAACGTGGACGAAGGACAGAATATCTGTCAGTATAGGGCTTTGTGAAGCTGGTTGATCTGGTTTCAACTGGCAGGAGTTTGATCTGTTAGTCAGTTTGATGAGTGCTGCAGAAAAAAAAGGAAGATCTTGGACATGCTTTCTTACATCATCACTCAGGGTTTCAGGGGGGGGGGGGCAGAAATATTTCAAACGCAGCATCTGAGGTTAATTGCCAAAATCGTATGCACACAATTGTTGTCTGGACAGATCCATTCTAATTCAAATGTATCCATTCTAATTCAAATGTAGAATAATGTTGGTAATTTTTTTTCAATTATACACACACACACACACACACACACACACAACTTAATGTCACTGTAAGTATAAATATATATACGAGCATATAAGAGTTATAGCCCTAAAGTTATCTGTGCATTAAGATGCAGATGTTAGAGCAGTCAGTGCAATATATATATATATATATATATATATATATACACACACACACACACACACACAGAAGATATGCTCTAGTTGTGAAGGAGGTAAATGGTATTGATTGTAATTGTATAAGATTATAAAAATGTATGGTCCAAGTATCCAAACTCAAGTGTGTGTCCAACCTCTTGTAGACTTGCAAGGTTGGATTATCTAATCTCTTAAACTGATTATCTCTCTTGCATTGTTCATTGTGGATCACGGTTTAAAAAACTTGCAGCTTGGTTTACTATATCAACACTCTTTAGAACAAAGGGAAAGGTGCTAACAGCATATTATAGCTTAACTCTCCACTAATTGACTTGCACTGGAGCTGTACTGTATTTAACGAGTCAATTATGTATGAATAAAATAGTTTTAATGCTGAAAGGTTCGGGTCTTTAATTATCATAAGCATCAAAACGTCTTACCTTCCGATATCGGAGCACATGAGAGAGTCCGCAGCAACAGCAGCGTTTGTGAAGGCGCATCTCTGTTTGGTTGCTAAAATTATGCAAATGCAGATAATTGCAACAGAGCACAGTAAAGCCAGTACGCACAGGCAGCAGCGTCTCGACTGAGATTTGCCCATGATTTGATCAGCGTGTGATCAGCAGCAGGTAGAATATAATGAAGCGCTCGCGCTGCTCACTCACTTTACTTTTACTGCTGGGGGCGGAGAAGAGTCTCGCGACTTTACAAAACAGAAGGCTGTTAGAAGTTTAGGCAAGGCAAGGCAAGGCAAGTTTATTTATATAGCACATTTCATACACAATGGCAATTCAAAGTGCTTTACATAGGAGAAATTAAAATAATCAAAAGAAATCAGAATAATTAAAACAGTTTAGAATAAAAAATAAGAAATAATGAAAAATAAAAATTATGATAAAAATAAAATACAGTAAATTAAAACCATTTAGAATAAAATGAAGTACAGAAACAGTCGGACGAAAAGTGGCAAAGTGCTCATTCAATAAATGCACAGCTAAACAGATGTGTTTTGAGTCTGGATTTGAACCTGATTTCTTCTGGAAGCTGGTTCCAGCTGCGGCTGGCATAATAGCTAAAAGCAGACTCTCCATGCTTAGAGTGAACCCTCGGTATTTCTAGCTGATGTGATCCTAATGATCTGAGCGATCTATTGGGTTTATATTCAGTTAGCAATATATTGAGGTCCTCCTAACCCATTACTATACCAGTAATAATACGTTAAAATCAAACCTAAATGTAACTGGCAGCCAGTGTAAAGACCTGAGGACTGGTCAAGTCACATTTATTTATGTAGCGCTTTTCACAATTCAGATTGTCTCAAAGCAGCTTCACAGTGATAACAAGTAGTACAACACAGATCAATAATATTGTTAAATATTAAATATTTAAGTAACCCCGCCTAAGCAAGCCAAAAGCAAGGCGACAGTGGCAAGGAACCAAAACTCCATCAGATTGGATGGAGAAAAAACCTTGGGAGAACCCAGGCTCAGTTGGGGGCCAGTTCTCCTCTGGCTTACATTCATATTGTTTATATATAAATATTAAATATAAATATTGTTTATGTATAAAACGGCGCCATAACATATCGCAGGCGTTCAGTCGTCGCTTTACTGGCATTGGTCTTCTTATCACAGGCCTTGGGGCATTCGAAATCCCCGTGAGAGGCTGGATACAAATCTGGACCTGACGAATGCCATTTTTCTCGGGACAAGCGTCCCGAGATAACAGCAGAAAGGCAGATGGGAAATAATTAGCATAGCTGATGTTCATAATGATTTCCATTATACGGGAGTCTGTGTTAGAAAACCACTATCTCACAAACTCTCCGTAACCTGAACTCTCCGTAACCCAACCATACACGCCGACCTGTTTGTCTAAAAGGCTGTCGAGCCCCACTGGTGCGTTCAGCAGTTTCAGTGGCAAACGGTTCCGTATGGCATAACAGAGGACTAATAGGTAAGAATTATGTGAATGCTTGACTAAAGAGATGCGTCTTTAGTTTTAAACTGTGTCAGCGAGTCAGAGCCTCGGACCGTATCGGGAAGGCTATTCCAGAGTTTTGGAGCTAAATGCGAGAACACCCTCCCTCCTTTAGTTGACTTTGATATCCTAGGAATGACCAGAAGCCTTGAATTTAGTGATCTTAAGGAACGTGGTGGATTGTAGGGCGAAAGAACGTCCGTTAAGTACATTGGAGCTAAACCATTTAGGGCTTTATAGGTCAGTAGTAGTACTTTGTAGTTGATACGGAACTTAATAGGTAACCAGTGTAGAGATGATAAAATCGGTGTTATATGATCATATTTCCTTGACCTAGTAAGAACTCTAGCAGCTGCATTTTGTACTAACTGTAGCTTGTTTATTGAGGATGCAGGACAACCAGCTAATAAAGCATTACAGTAATCTAGTCTCGAGGTCATGAATGCGTGAACTAATATTTCTGCATCAGAGATAGATAGCATGTTACGTAGCTTAGCAATGTTTCTAAGGTGGAAAAAGGCTGTTCTTGTAACATATGAAATATGATTTTCGAAAGACAAGTTGCGGTCTAGTATAACACCCAGGTCTTTTACTGTAGTGGATAAAGTAACAGGACATCCGTCTATATTAAAGTTGTATTGTAAGAGGTTTTGTGTGTAGTTTTTTGGACCAATAAGTAATACCTCCGTTTTATCTGAATTTAATAGCAGGAAATTACGCGTCATCCAGCATTTTTTATCTTTGAGACACTCTGTCATTTTAGGTGAGTTAGTGTTTTCATCTGGTCGTGATGAAATATATAATTGAGTGTCGTCAGCGTAACAGTGGAAATTAATTCCATGTTTTCTTATAATATTACCAAGAGGCAGCATGTATATTGAGAATAGCAGAGGGCCTAAAACTGATCCTTGTGGTACTCCATAGTCTACTGACGTTATCTTTGATTTCCCATTTAAAATGATAACGGTCCGATAAGTACGATCTAAACCAGCTTAATGCCTGTCCCAGGACACCAGTGTAGTTTTGTAGTCGATCCAAGAGTATTTTATGATCTATAGTGTTGAACGCAGTGCTAAGATCAAGTAGAACTAGTATTGAGATACAGCCTTGGTCAGAAGCTAAAAGTAAATCATTTGTAATTTTAACTAGCGCAGTTTCTGTACTATGATGCGGTCTGAATCCTGACTGGAATTTTTCATAGATATCATTTTCTTGCAAAAAAGAGCACAATTGAGCGGACACTACTTTTTATAGTATTTTGGACATAAATGGAAGATTTGAAATGGGTCTGTAAATTGCAAAGTTATTTGGATCTAATTGCGGTTTCTTAATGAGCGGTTTTATTACTGCCAGCTTGAATAGACTGGTGTGATGTGTTCATATTTTCTGGTCCTGCTCAGAATCCTGGCAGCAGCGTTCTGTATGAGCTGCAACTGTCTTATGGTATTTTTGGGAAGGCCAGGAGGCCAGGCTTCTGAACCATTTTAGGACTATCCCAGAAAGCCCCACCCAGTTTCACAGCCTGTCAAGAAGTATGTTGTGATCGACAGTGTCAAATGCAGCACTGAGGTCGAGTAGTACCAACACGGATAATTTGCCTGTATCAGTATTTAAGCGAATATCGTTTATTATCTTTATGAGCGCTGTCTCCGTGCTGTGATGCGATCGGAAACCAGATTGAAATTTGTCAAAATATCCATTTGAGCTTAAAAATTTGTTCAGCTGATTGAAGACAACCTTTTCAATGATCTTGCCTATGAAAGGAAGATTTGAGATCGGTCTATAGTTACTTAAGATGGTCTTATCCATATTGCTCTTTTTCAGGAGGGGCTTGACAACTGCAGTTTTCAGGGAGTTCGGAAAACTCCCAGAGCGAAGTGAGGCATTTACCACTTCTAGGAGATCAGCTTCTAAACAGTTTAACACACTTTTGAAAAAAGATGTGGGAAGTGTGTCAAGGGCACAGTTTGATGTTTTAAGGTGCTGTACGGTTTCTACCAAAATTGTGCCATCAATTTCTTCGAAATCAGACATAGTAACTGGTTGTGGTCTGATCTGCCTGACCCCAGAGCAACTCAAGCATGTGCTGATCACCTTTCTGATGTTATTGATTTTCTCAGAGAAGAAAGAAGCAAATTCACTGCATTTCCTTTCTGAGAGCATTTCTATAGGAATCTGGCTTGGACAAACCCCCCAAGCCAGATTCCCATAGAAATGGGAATACAGTAGCAAAAAGAGTGCGTGTGTTGTTTATATTGCTGTTTATAATAGAAGAAAATCTGTCTTGCTTTGCCTAGTTCCCCATTGAAAGCATGGATGCTGTCTTTGTAGATGTTATAATGGACTACAAGTTTTGTCTTCCGCCACATGCGTTCTGCTCTTCTGCATTGTCTTTTCATATTTTGCACTGCTGTTGAGTTTCTCAAGGTGCTTTTTGTCTGCTACTATTCTTCCTGACTTTCACAGGAGCAATATCATCAATTACACTCTTAACTTTTGAGTTAAAAGAATCAAGGAGAAAATCAACAGAGTCAGCAGATATGCTTGCTTTTAAAGATATAGCCTTCATAAATAGCACACCAGTGTTTTCATTTAAGCATCTCTTCTTGACAGACACAGCTCTAGCTTCAACGGCAGGAGAGATTAATATATCAAAGAAAATACAGAAATGATCAGACAGTGCTACATCCTTAATAACAATCGATGAGATGTTTAAACCTGTACTGATTAATAAATCTAGAGTATCTCCACGATTGTGTGTGGGACCATCAGTGGTGGAAAGAGTACTAAAAAAACATACTCAAGTAAAAGTACCATTACATTCCAAAAAATGTAGTATGAGTAGAGTAAAAAGTACTTGTCCAAAAAACTACTTGAGTAAGAGTAAAAAAGTAGCTTATTTCAAAGTACTCAAGAGTAGTGAGTAGTGAGTACTGAGGTGCGGATTCTAACCCTTATAATAAACACTGTGCACTACATTTTATAAATTTAAAAAAAAAAAAATGCACATACTGGAATTCACATTATATTTTGTTTTTTGTAAGAAAGATTGAAGAATATCTATCATCCATCTTTTTAAAATGCATCAAATCAGTACACTTATCACCATTTAAATCATATTATTTGGGGGAAAGAGCATTTAAAATTAGGTGAAAAGCCACTGGGCCTGAGCATGCTATTGTTGCACATAAAATATCAATATTCATAACTGTGCAAAGAATTCAAAAACCTTTAGAAACTCATATGATAGTTCAGCATCACACACCAAGAGATGGGTTAAATAAAATAAAAAATACCCAATTTCTCTCCAAAACGTTACCAATGTTAGTGTTTTGATAAATGAGAATCACTAATATTATCATATTACCTCAACTAATGCACTGAAAAAGGCTAAGATAGTGAGCTAACACTTACACACTTTTATTCCATGCTATTAAATATGTTACAATTTAAACGTAAATGCATTGTTCTAGAAGGGTGGCATAATCCTTTACATTTTAAACGGCTACATTTACATTGTAATACTGATAATATAATTTGTAAGGAAAAATGTGCATTAAATAGGGAAGTTAGTTATATCCAGGAAACTTTTACAAAAGAAACAAACACACTTTGTCTCTGAAGTCTCGGCTAAGCTGTTTTATCAGCAGCATCCACACAAAAAAAAGTTCAGCATGAAAAAT